CATATGGCCTTAAATCAGCATACTGACTATAACATAGAAGCTGTCATATGCAGCACAGGGTGTAACATGGTTCAGACATGGCAAGTGTGGCAGGTGTTCAGCACACAAACGGGGCCAGTTTACAAGTAGAAAGGGCTGATTATAGATATGGCTAGACGAAATATGAAAGTGGAAGAAGACAAGGTGTTTGAAAGAAAAACCTGAGAGCCCCAAATTAGTCGATAAGCACACCATACAATGTTCCAGTTCATAGTTATTAGTTTGAATATATGTAACATCTTCTAATAATTCTAATGGGTCCCAAGCAGAACCAATTTACCTCATGGAATGCTAGAAGTTATTCGTAAAAACTGACAATAACCAGTGACAGAGAAACCAACAATATTCACAAACGCTGAGAGCAGCAAACAGCATGCTAGGTGAGTTTGAGGCTTACCTGATGCTCATCTCAATGACTAATGACTGATTACTAGCCAATTCAGACCATTTTTAAGCTAATGAAAGGACTTGGGGTGGAAGGACATCGTCTAGAGCTTTGACTGGTTGAAATATCGGGTGAATTGGCCCTTTTCTTGACATTGCATCAGCATTGTCCTCGTTATCACTCATTACGCACCATGATGAGTGATGATTTCATAACACAGAAGAAGATTAATGTCCTGCAGAGATTTGCAAAGACAAGAACGTCCGTCCGGTTAGATCATGCTGCTTATGCATAATATGCTACATGAGTCTAGTTACCTTGCTCCAGGGGTGATAGCCCAAGGGGACTTTCACTCCTGTTGATGGAATGGGTAAAGAGGGTTTCCAAATACAACATCCCGATTAAATTTCAATGGGTTTACACTCAGTATTGTGCATAAAGCAACCTATGACCCTCCTGTTTCTTGATTACAAATAAATCCAAAGTTCGAGGTTAATTCAGTGTGCTGACCTCGCTTAACTTCATCATTGCCATGAATGGATGGGAAAAGACTTTCAACCAAGTTCTGGTACAGGCTCCGGTCACGGCTCATTTCATACACCTTGTTCCACTCTGCATCAGTCATCTGTTGCTTCATCATCTCAGCTGTAATCTCTTCCATTAGTAATTCTCCACCCCCAAACTGAAATGCACAAACACATCAAAGTACCTCTTCAATCTGTGTATATGCTTTTGAACAAAACTAATGTCTCAGTGAAATTCAGTATGATGTTACACAGTATACTTTTCTATATATTCTGATTTTATGTATCTCCATAAGCAGAGTCCTTGAGAAGCAAGCTAGTCAACAAATTCCTTGCCCTTTATGGTACCTGAAGGTTCATTATCATGTTCAAAAGAGCCTGCCACCAGTCTATATTCTGAGCAAGATGAATTCAGTCCATACCATCTCACCCTATTTTCCAATGATCCACTTTATTATTATCCTCCCATATATACCTAGGTATTCCCAGCAGTCTCCTCTCTTCAAACCTCCCAACCAATACCTTGTAAACACCCCTCCCCTCCCCCATGCATGAATTTCATTCTGACTTGTTAGTGTAGGTCCCAAGTACTTGAATTTTCTTACATTTTTGAATGATTCGTTAGCTATCCTTATATTCTGGTTGTCCTGAATTCTGATGCTGAGACATAATCATATACTTTGTCTTTTCTGCATTTATTTCCAGACCAACATCCTACTTGCGCTTAGGAGTGTTTCTGTGTTTGCTTTTAAAGTATTTATATTATTGTCCAACAGATTAATATCATCAGCATAGACCGAAAGCTTATGCATCAATTTCAATTCTAAACAGCCCTAATTATTTTTTGGACTTTCCTGATGGCATATTCTAGGGCAAAATTGAAAAGCAGCCGCAATAGAGCATCTCCCTGTTTCAAGCCATTGTGAATAGGAAATGTATTGGACAAATACTATTTACCTATACGAATTTTGCCAGATGTTTCACTTAAACACACTCTACTTAGTATGACTAGCTTCTTAGGAATACCAATTCAAGCTAAATATTGTAAAGAGCTCCTTTTTAACTGAGTCATATGCTTTCTTGAAGCCTATAAATAGTTGATGGACTGTCCCATTATACTCGCACATTTTCTCTAGTATCTGGCAAATGTATACATACATACATCTTTATTACATTCCATGGATCCATAAGTTAGTCAGATGACAATAGGATGTAGAATAAGTCATAATAATACAATACATGTTATATAAAATCTGAACAGTTGCAGAACTATTATGACGGAACCCACACTGATGATCCCCAATAATTTCAGTGGCATATTAAGTCAGCCTCGCCAGAAGAATGTTGGATAAAATTTTGTAGGTTGATAATAAAAGAGAGATTCCTCAACAATTATTACAATCAGTCTTTCTTATGAACTGGTACAATAATAGATTCCTTCCACTGCTGTGGCATTTCCTCCTAATTCCATATAGAGCAAATAAGTTTGTGTAGCTCAGAACACAATGTTTCACTTGCTGCTTTGATCAGTTTGGCTGGAATTTGATCAGTATATGGGGATTTGCACTTTTTCAACTTCTCAATAACTGCTACAATCAACAAAAGAGAAACTAAGACTGAAACAACCTCATTACAAACTCAACTAAAACTATATAATAATTTTTAATGACATAAGTCACAACTTGCCCTAGGATTGGTTGCCTGGACTGAACATGCTAGAAAAGCCATGCGATAGTGGAGTTCACGAACACCAAGGGCTTTGAGACCTCGAATTCCATCTGTGTTTGTCTCCCCGGCCTTGTGATGTGATCCAACTTCAGCCTTGGCCCCTGGAAGAGCCAATGCCCCAACATCTGGCACAACAATCAGTGTTCCTGTGAAGTCATAGCGATCTCCAGCCTGAACAGTTTCCACAGCATCTGCTCTCAGCACAACCTCCACACTGAAAAAATCAAATGGTTTAACTGCAACAGAACATGTACAGCTAACAACAAAAACATCAAAACTAGAAAAACATGTAAAGTTTATGCCAAACACTTCATTATAGCTAGAAATATCTTCAGCACTCCAAGTTTCTTAATGCTACATGTATGGAAAATTAAAAATGTTTTTTTCTGGCACCTACATCGTAACAAGCAATTCCTAACTAGCCATGGCTTTTCAGTACTTCTTCCCCAGACTATACCTACAGTAGTCTCCTTTTCAAATACCAGTTGCCTATGCAAACATAATTCAACAATAACAAAGATAAGTGAAGGAGATATATATTAGCACAGACAGCAATTAATTTACTGTTTCACTGCTGCCTTCAAGATATTCTACTGACTTGCACTGTTAGTTGGAATCATATGCTAGCCAAATAGATAGTAAAACATCTCCCAATAACAGCCAAGCTTCCCTATGCTGAGGGGATACTTTAAAATATTTATTTATAAATCTGAGAAGAATAAATCAAATTCACACTGTATTTATTATAAATAAACAAACAACCATGTTTTATTATTTAGTTCCTTCTGTACATGTATACACAGTAATTAAGTGAAAAATGTTTTCGCAATTTCTATTTTAACACAGTCTCTGCCATGCTACCTAGTGGGCTCTGTGCCAGCCATATTTCAGCATGGAGATGTACTAACATCTGCATAAAAAGACCTAAATACCTTAGGTACTATGTGATTTGCATGAAATCTTCAGATTACATTTAATATTGCTTTCGGATGAATTTCCTTTATAGCTATTCACTTCTACATAAACATCTCACTTTTCCATACCATGCATCAGTCATCTCTGTACACATGAGGCAACCATGTGTTTACAAAGGAACAGGAAGTTGTGTGTGAGATTGTCACTCATAATACATAAATCAAAGCATCGAAGCTTCCTTCATCATCTGAATACAAGCGAGTGATATCTCTAGGAAATATGAGCAACTACATGTTAATCAGGTCGCCCTCGGTGGACTAGTAATTAGTGTGCTGGCCACTGGATATAAGGTTCACAGGATCAAATCTGGCGAAGGTCAACAGATTTTTAAGGGTGATACAAATCCGTAGCATAACTTCCTTCGGAGGGCAAGTAAAGCCGGCAGTCCCATATCGCAGAACCATACGAGCATGAACGAGATGTTTCATAAGCAGAATTCAGTGGCCATTTCCCACCTGTCCCTCCTGATTCTCTACTACATGGATCTAGCAGACAGAATCAAGATTGAGTAGAAATTGTGCAGAAGCAGTGTGCTTGTCACTCACTACTCAGAAATGCACACTTCAAAAGACTAATGAAACCTCAAGAAGGAGGTGCCAAGACCCACACTGGGTTGTAGAGCCACAGGAAGAAGAAGACATGTTAATCAGCACCAAAACATCGATAAGACATGTGGCACTGGCAACATGAGATAAAAGAATTCTAACATGTTTGGTATGTTGTTTTGTATGGGTGCGAAACATGGTCTCTCACTCAGAGGGAGGAACATAGATTGCAGGTGTTTGAGAATAGGGTGTTGAGGAGGATATTTGGGTCTAGGAGAGAAGACGATGGGACATAGAGAAAACTGCATAATGACGAACTTAAAAATCTGTATTCCTCCCCCAGTATTGTCAGGGTGATTAAGTCGAGAAGAATGAGATGGGTGGGGCATGTAGTGTGCATGGATGGGACAAGAGGTGTGCACCGGGTATTGGTTGGGAAGCCTGAGGGGAAGAGACCGCTGGGGAGACCTAGACGTAGATGGGAGGATAATGTTAGGCAGGATCTATGGGAGATAGGAGTTGAAGGAGACTGGATTTTGTTGGCCCAGGACAGGGTCTGGTGGAGGGCTTTGGTTAATTCGGTGATGAACCTTCGGGTTCTGTAAGCCATCTAGTTAGTTAGTTATTTAGTTAACATGTTTGGTAGGTCTGTTATATATGACCTACTACTTTGAACTCTCCAACAATGTGATAAAGGCTATGATAGCTTATACTTCCAAATTTTGTAGAGGGAGTTCCAGAATACATTACATACAAGGGGAAAATATAGTATTGTGCACATCTACATAATATGCTATGCTACTGCTGGTAACTGAACCCAAAACTAACCTAGTCACATGACAGCAGATACTGCTGACATGGGATTAAAACTTGCAAATTTGATCTTCGCATCAACGCCAGTCTCCTATCACACACACCAGTCTACAAGGGAACCAAAGTATAGCTTTCACCTCTGTTTCGCCTTCCAAGGATTCAAAAAAGTCATTAATATTAATTCAAATTAGGCAGACATATTGATTTCTTTGCTTAACAGATGTCTGGCATAAACTGCTATAGTTAATGGAAGGTATAGAAAAGCCACACACAAATAAATATAAGGACATTACAAATGATTGGAATTATGACATCAGTTGTACACTTACGTCACTTCCAGTCTGAGACTTGGAAAATTTCAAAAACTTCATTTTTGTTGTAGAGTGTACGTGTAGTGGGAAACTCTGATAAGCAATCAGCTCTGAGTACAAGAGGTTACATATGAAAAAATCAACATTTCAGTTCAAACAATACTAATGACATAACAATCAATGCTAAATAAATGTTGATTATTTTCAAATTTCTGTAACAGCCAATTCAAAAAAGGATAAATATTGCACGGCCCACATTATTTTTTAAACTCATACGTGATATAATTAATTAGTTAGTAGGTAGGAGACAGGTATGAAAACAATGTGGTGAAACACTGATACAATGCCTCTCAAAATATTGCCGCCCTTCCACTGCAACCATGAAGCCTAGAAACATCAATTCTACATGTAATTTCAAAGGGAAATCGTCCCTCCAATAAAATGATAACTCTACTAACTGCCATCCACCAACATCTGTAGCAAGATCAATGTATCATTAAGCATTATAACCAAGTCCGACACAGTTCCACACTGCTGCTTTACCACCAGCTACAGACTATTCCCTTGAATACTCAGTTGTAGAAAGACTGCTTTGTCAACAAATAAAACTTACTCAACAGTTCCTTAGAAACAGAGTTGAGTGTTATTTGGGGTGAGTGGTGTAAATGGCAACATATGAAATCCAGGCAGTTACTTGATAAATCTGCTATTGAAAGAGCACTGATTTTAAAATGAAAATATTGCCAATAAGCTACCCACAATAACAGGTAAAACTCCAAGAATGCTGGTAAAATAGTTACAGACCTGCCCCATTTTGAAGTTTGAAAGGGCTAGTGGACTATTCCATGATAAAGTTTTTTTTAAGTTTCTCTGAATAGCATACAGCACCCATATGAACTTCAGTTTGAATATAGACACAGAGTGGGGGGTGGGGGCCCCAACATAAGTGCAAACAATCAAAACCAGTAGTTTCTGTAACACTGAGAAAAGTGCAGGGAAAGTTTTGGTGTGGAAAAATGTATGTGCTTACAAAGACCAATATTTTGCTGCAAGCCAACAAAATAGTGTCAATAAGTTCTCCATTTTACTGGGTAAAAAATCCCATCAGTTGGCACTGTGTTGGAGATATTCTCAGAATGAGAGAGAGAGAGTAAAATGAAATGGAAAATGTAACATGTACAACTGTAAAAAATTGTTGAAAAGCACAAAAGAAAAAACCTTGGGATGCATTAATTATTTTGTTAGGACAAATCAGTACAAAGAAAGGAACAGCATTTGACTAAGTTGTTAAGGGAGAACCAAAAATAATTAGACAGCAGACAAATGAGACATTTTGTATACAAAAATTAGTATGTATCTTGTTCCAAAAAATAAGATTACAGGTAGCCCTCGATTTACGCCAAGGATGCGTTCCTGGACAAACCGGCATAAACGGCATAAATTTAAACTCTTTTATAATGTGAATCAATGGGAAGTCAATGACATACGTTCCCAGCACTCAAACATTGACGAGTAATATAATGGCATTACATTTAAGGCTCCAAAATAACGTAAATAAAATAAAGGGAATTTAAAAAATATATTTTAGACACTTCCAATCGGCAATCCCCGCGATTGATGGCGATTCTTTCATGTGACTGATGTGTACAGTCATCTCTGCTGTTAAGTGATAGTTGCATTCATGTAAGATGCCGACCTATAGAAAATCGCGTAGTAAAAATAACCCCGGTACCTCCGCAGAGATTAAATAAGTCCTTTGAAAGTTTAAAGCGCCAGGAATGAGATTGCATAAGAGAAAACTCGCATATGCAAAAGTTTGCATTTCACAAACGGCTTTTACCGATGCATCGATCTCATTGGAGAAAATTCGCGTTAACAAAACATATGTAATTGCAGAGATGACTGTATTTATAATCTTTATTCAAAATCAGCGATGGAAGAATTACGATTTAGTGTAAGAATCAGTACGAGATACATTGTAAAACATTATAAATAATAGTAAAATATATTTTTTTCACTTTTTGACTTGCTGGTTTCAAAATCGGCGTTATTCTGAATCGGCGCAAAGTCGAGGGCTACCTGTATACAATGCATTTAAATAATGAGGAAATTTTCTGCGTGTGAAAGCACGGCAGCCCTCTAATCAGGGAGGAAACATGCTGTATGCTAGACCACAGCAGACGTTCAGTGACAATTACTTCCCAGTCGTGTCACTAACTTCCTCACATAAGTCTCTAGATAAATATATTCATAACAGGATATTGTAAAAAGATAAGACAAACTTACCATACTTTATAACAACTGCTGAAAGTTACTCACTTCTACTCACAGACATGCCTTACATCGCCTAAAGAAGTTATGCAACACTTTCTAAAGTTCATCCATGGCAACTGAAAGAATTATCTGTTCCATGGCTGCATTAGCAGTATGTGTTGTAGCATTATCTTGCTAAAAATATCCACCTTGTCTTTCTTCAGCAGTCAGTTGATTGAAGAAGTGATTCAATATGTCGTTAAAGTATCTGTCAGAGTTCACGGTTTCGTGGGAAAACACGGGGCCAATGATTTACTGCAGACTTACAGCACAACCTTTTCAGTATGTAATGGCACTTGTATAGCAAGATAAATGTCATCAATCCATATTCTTACATTATGTGCATTGACATAAACTAATGGGAAACCATGCTTCATTGGATATGAACAGAAGCTGCAGATCCACACTTCCAACATGCACATTTTGCAGTAGCCAGTTTCAAAAAGGAATTCTTACTGCAAAATCTGGTTGTTTCAACTCATGCACAACTGTTATTTTAAATGTACAAAATTTAATTAATTTTGTGGCTGTGAAAGTGGACTCCAGCAAAACACTGGTTTCCTGTGCTACGTGTCTTAACAATTTTTGAGGATTGATCTGGGGTCGTGCCTGAATATCCTGTACCTTTTCTTCAGTTAGCACATTTCTCTTCAATTGCCTCTTTACGCCACTGAACCTATGACCTGCCACTTTTTCACAAGTTTACATACACATGACTTCCTGGGAACTGGTGAGGTTGGATACTTACAATGAAACTTTAAAATACAGTTTCTGCAAGTTTTTTCCTTGCATATGTTTCAATAATGAATACACGCTGTTCAGTGGTGAACTTCATTTCAATAAAGATGTACACTGCCTACCACATCTCTGAGAAAGACTGGAAATTACTGCACTATAAACATCGGATATGATAACTAATGACGCATGTTTATAAGTGTGCATGACTCATTCTGCAACCAAATAGTAGCATAACAATCACAAAGAAATGTTTGATCTGCACTGCGGTGTTATCAGGTTTCCTCTACGACTGAACATTCTGTAGTAAAAATGAATTCTATATATATGACTGTTCCAAAAGCTATAAAACACACAGATATATTCCACTATTTTACCTTGTACTTTGTCCTCAAAATCCAAAGTACAGTATTTTACATACCATCTGTAAATTTAATACAGTAATCAAAATACAACAAAACACAAAATTTCAATTTATAGCCATCCCAGCTTTGATGTCAAATTGGTGGTGGACAAGAAGTGGTACTCTAACAGGGTTATACTGTATGTCAATAATTTTTAGATATTACAAGTACCTAACAGAATAAGCATTTTCCAAATTTTATTTACAAGTTTTCATTAAAACAAGGTTAAAATGCACAATTCCATGTCACGAATGTTGTGACTGCTGAATAGATACACTACATTAATGTTAATTTCCTATCCAACATTCCTGAAATTACAGAAATGATAACTCACCTACGAGGAATGCACCCTCGAGGCAGCTCAGCCTGTGTTTCCTGAATGCGAACTTTCTGGAAATCAACAAACAGCGACTTGTCCACTTCTAGCATGAAGCGTCGTCTGTTGGAGCACACAGGGTTGCGACAGATTGTTGGGTTTGTGAACTAGAAGAGATAATAATTCACATATGACAGCAAAATAAAATAAAAAGTTGTTAAAAATTTAATAAAAGAAGCCAAAGCATATCTAAATATTTAAAAAGGAAAACAACACTTCCATTTTACAAATATCAATTGGTTACAGTAATGCTGTTTGAGGAAATAATCTGTTTACAAAAATAACCATATGAAACCCAAAAACACAAAATGTAGTTATTTATTTGATGTTAAAGCAGGTAATACATAGTTGCCATTGGGCTTTAAAGGGTTATGATCTTTATGAAGAAAAACAACCTCTCACCCATCAAAGGACTGAACTAGATTGTCTTCACAGATAATGCTTCTCCCACTGCATACACCTTTGCTGAGAAGACTTTGCTGCATTTAAATTGTGGCTAAGCATGCAAGGTTTGTAATAGTGTCCCAATGATTGTCCATTATATGCATATGATCAGACAGTATTTGTGGAAGTTTCATATTCCAAAAGAGCATATTAAACTCCAAATGGGAAAGGCTGAACTAACGAGCACTCTTCATGAACCCCATAACCACTGGGCAAACTAGCCAATCTTGAGGATACTAAGTAACATGATTGTGCCACACTCTTAAACCCCTACCATAAACAATTCAAAATGTGCAACAGTATAAACATTAGCACCATTCATTAATGTAACTGTATTTGTTTAACACTTTAGTTTCTGTTTTATTATCAATCTGATTCATATTACGTAAATTCTATACAGCATTATATGAGCAATCTACCCATCAAGCTACTTCATTCTTAGTGACTGAAAGGTAGGATGTGTGCTTATGTTTGGCACAAAACAATTTAGTTGTTATAAGAAGCTGAGATTACAGACACAATAAATGGAAGAGTCCAATCGAAACTGTTGAAGATGTACATTTTAATTTTTAAAGAAAGAATATACTCAATTTACTCAATCACAACCCACCTCACCAGCAGACTTCCACTGGACTGGCTTCTGCTGTCTAATTAAAAAATCACCACTTCAACCTTTCTATTGTCTTTGACCAAACTCAGGAAACATACATGCTATTACCTGACTATTACACCTATTGTTACATCACACTGGGGTGTTTATGAAATTTCTGCTCTATTACACTGCATAATATACAAATTCTGACATTGCTAAATATATAAAAAATTTGTTATGGTTAATCCAGTTAAAATGAAAGTTCCACTTAGACATGTGAAATTTAGTATTGTAGAAATTACATGTGCCAATAAAATCTTTTCTGGTCATCAGACTTATCAGACGATCAAAACTTGCCAATATTTCAAGGACCACCTCTGTCCTCAAAACATTGGCAAGTTTAAATCATGTCATGACCAATAACCCAATAAGATTTTATTTAAGACAGCCACCACAAAAACTTCACATTATAAAATATATGCATGTTTAAAAATTTTTTGAGCACCTGTGTAATAAAAATATACACATATTTTTAAAAGAAATATAAATTATCCTTTAGACCTTGTAGGAAGATTCCCATCCAAACTATGTTATAAAATACAGCGGTACTGTATTCATCTAAATATCATATAGCTCAGATAAAACATGTACCCAGCTCTTTGAAAGGAAAAATAAACCCAAAATAAAAACTATAGTCGTTCTGTATAACATCCAATTCACATATTGTACATTCCAACACAATATTCCCTTTTCTCAGGGAACAGTTACAAATAGTACACTGTATATGATCCGAAGCTTTCATAGTGACTAACAATAATAAAATCCTTTCAAGCTATCAGCCATGTCAATTGGTAATCATCAAATCCTGATGGTAGGAATAAAGCTGTTCCCTGAAATGTCAATTTTTAACCAAATGACACAGAAGATAAACCATGATTTTATTAAACAGTTCACCCTTGCTCCAACATTAAAGCCAATGCTGGAACAGTCATCTGAATTTTCCATAATACTCCAATGTTACATTTATGTGGTTAGCATCTGTGCTTCTGTTGGGGAGTTCCCAGGTTTGAATCTGTAAAGTGACCAAATATTTTGACCAAGATTTTGTGGTTTTCCTCAGTCCCTCCAGACAAATGAAGGGGTAGCATCTCAAATTAGGCTATTGAGCCACTTCCTTCTGCATCCTTTCCAATTATTAATTATTCTATCATTCAATATCACACAAACTAACCTTCTGACAGAGCCATTAAATAAACCACAGATAAGTAAAGACAAAATACAAGTCTTCCAATAAGACACGCGTCAGCTATAGGCTTGCTTTGATCATCCAAAACTTGGAATTGGAAATAAAATGTGATAGGTTTGCACTAGGCAAGGCAACACGTATATGCCAAAAAACATAACCTTCAAGTATTTATTCTACATACCACCAAATAAACAACACCAATTGTGGTTTCTACTCATTATTTGCATTTGGGAATTACAGTAAATAAGTAACATAAAACCAAAATTACAATTCTAATTTTTTATCACTGTTTACAACTGTTCCAACTCCCCTATCATTTCCACATTTTAATTTTTTGAGAACTATCCATGACCATTTTTGTGTATTGACTTTCAAACGACACCTATTCAGAGTGTATTAAAAGTTGAGCAGGAAAAACAATGACACAAGGAGAAATGGGAACACAAATGTATATAATCACTGTAATTATCAATATCAGAAACCTTGCAACAGCAGCAGCATGCTCAAAATATGAATGCAACAGTAGGTACAGGCTGCCTCAAAATAACACTCTACTGATAAAAGGATGATATAATGACTACCAAGATAAATTTCCATAAATGATACTGATCCTAATGAGATGCAAAAATAATTTAAAAAGCATTACAAAATTTACCCTATTATTATTTTATTAATTTAAAACTCTGTGTAAAACAGTGATTTGTGCAGTTTACAATTAATATGATTACAAACAGGACCACAACAAAAGGCACAAATATACTTCAAAAAATATCCAGAAGACTATACTTTTTCAGAACATAATTACGAGGATAATTTTATTTTCAAAAAATACAAAAGTGAAGGTTACCTTAAACTGTTGTTCTACATCCTTTATCATTGTCTGACAGTCCAGACAGATAAAAGTTCCTGACACAAGTTCTGGGTGAACTGGATGAGTCCGTACCACCTGTCCTGAGATGCGAATTAGGGTTCCAATTTTTGCTGTTGTCAGTTCTCGAACTTTGTGACGAGTAGGTACGTCTGTAAAACTCACATAGTACTCTTTTTTGTCATCTTTTGCTTCCCCTCTATCCTTGACAAAGTTTCGTACTGCTTGACACAGAAATGGAAATATCCTAAAAGAAAGACAATGGTTGTCGAGAAAGCGTGGAAATTAGTGCTTTAATTTGCATACACAAACAAAAAAACAGTTGTTCATCACAAAGTAATTAGTTAACATTAAATTATACAGGTGATACAATTCATAAAAGTAGAATTTTCACTAACTTTATTCAGTAACAAAAAATTCAGATCTAAAGCAAATTTAACCCACCCCCTATTGTTATGCAGGTGAACTAACTTGTTTCATTGCGATAAAAATGTTTCATTGTATGACAAAACATATTATAAACATTCTTTATGCATTGAAATGTTCAAGACTTCATTGTAACATAGAAAGAAATGTTAACTTAAAAAAAAACTTAGACTTTTTCAGGTTCCAAATAAGTTTCTAAATGTTATGGGACTATTCTTTAAAGTACTAAATATGGAGAATGAAGTTTATTCTTGTGGTTGTTCGTGTGTTAAACTGTGTCAATATTCCATATTAACTTCTAGGAAAACCATACGCAAGACTGCTAATAAAAGCTCCTCGGGCTATCAGCCATGTCAAATGGTCAAAACTTGCTGATGTTTTGAGGACCATCTCAGTCCTCATCCTCAGGATTATTCATATTGTGTGTTCTGAGCGACCCACATACATACCTGTCCCTCACTCATACACGGATCTGACAGATCTGAGCCAATGAGGGCTAGTAGGCAAAGTCAAGTGCCTGCTTTGCTTGACCATGTCTTTGGATTGGTGGATCTCTAAATTGTTTGATTATGTTAATCACTGGATCCCAAGAATGAACAAGAGTAAAGAATCCATCTCTGTTACAGTTACTGTGGTGAAACTTGATATCAAAAGCCTCTTTTACTTATGATTCATATATCCTGGGCCTTATCCAGGAACGAGGCACTGCCAAAGTCAACGTTCTGTCCTGTGTCAAGTCTATGTTCTGCCACTGCAAACTTCTCTGTCTCATGTATTCTTTATACCTGGTTTCGATGGTTCTGCCCATCTATCCAATGTAAATTTGACTGCAATCATGCGGCACACAGTAAATACCTTCAACCTTTAGGTCTAACTTAGCTTGACTGGTCTCAGCATATGAACATAGATGGTTGGTGAGGAGTCTGCTAATTTTATGAGAGACTATTTGTTGGAGTGGTATCATCGCTGTGCCTACCAGTCTCTCCTTCTGTCTGTGGCCTGTCTTGAAGCAAAGACACACTTAATGTCACGAATGCTACATCTGTTCTGTGGTACATGTGTGGGTCACTCAGAACACACAGTATTAATAAACATGAGGATATGGACAGAGATGGTCATCAAAACATCAGCAAGTTTCAACCCCTTGACCCGTGGTAACATATCACTACTTTATATAAACTCTTTGTTTATATTACAAGATATCTTTATAATAGTAGGAATTTTACTTGTTTTATATGTATTGCATTATGATTTATTCCTGTTGTCTTATGTAAAAAGAAGTAACTAAAAAACAAAAGGCTACAGAACCAAATGGCTAAAACATCTGCACAGAAGAAACATTTCAAGGAAAATGTTGACCCATGTCAAATGTAAAAGGCATTTAGCATAAAAGAATTAAACAGACCAATGAAACTCAACTGGAGGAACTAACCAGTATGTTCATACAATATGAAACTAAAAGATTTCTTGGCACTAGCACAACACTGCCAAAACATACAGTGAGTGTGGAAGCAAGGTTCCAACATTTTCAATCTCAGCACTAAGACTTTGGAGACCTCTAGTAGCAAGGTAAAGGCTGGATAAGCTGAGGAGGAAAATTATTCCCAAAACCCCACTGAGAAGTAAACTAACCAGTAAGTTGTCATTTTCCTTGCTAAGCAATACAGTGAATTATGGTGGGAAAAAGGCACATTCAATGACAAAGTCCATGTCTTTTGACATCTAAGCCATTAGTGAAATTTCACTGTTTTTAAAATAACTTCATTTTAAATAAGAGAACAGTTGTATGAAACCTAGCACAATGAGTTTAAATGTAATAACTTTGATCCACAATGGTCCAATTTACATCTGGATTAACAGTTCTGCCAATTCCAACATACTTAAAACTTTGCCAATACTTTCCACTAATAAAATAAGCACTTAATTCATAGAGAGTACTTCGCCAACAAATAAACACTGGTAATGTAGAATTCATAGATCAACAGAATGGTGACATAAATGATGAGTCAGTAGAGATGGAAGAAACAATCATGATCATTCTGCCTGGACAGACTGAGAAAAAGAAAATAAATATAGATATAACCTGTAATATTCCTCTACTATTGTGGCTGCAAGATTTTGGTTATATTTTTCAATATCTTCAAAACAAACTTCGAGTGTACTTCTCTCTGGATTCCGCAGCTCTTGGGCACCATATAAATACTTGATTTTGCCATCCTCCTTGTACCTTTAAAAAAAAGAATAGTTCATTACTCACAACACTTGTACATTTACCCAGGTACTGTCTCATGGAACATACTACTGGCTGCTTTTATCAGGTTGACAGTGGGTTCAGATAAGAAGTAAATATAATAAACTACAAGTTTCAGTGTGCATAGTGAGCATCAAAGAAAGATTTGTACCTACAGTGTGGCCAACACTTACCAGGGATTTCTGCCACACGCCTCTATTATAATAGAAACACCACCACATAGGCATAGATGTGTATATCTAAATCAGTGCTTCTCAAACAACCTGGCGTGGTGGACTGGCAATTTCTTTCCATGTGCCAGTGACTGGTACAATATTTGTGCCATATTATCCTATTCAAATAGGCACATAGCACATCAGACCATAAAACTAACATTCTTCACAGTATTAACTGGAATGTGAATGCATGCTAAGAGTAGCATACCTGTGGAGATGTTCCAATTAAAATACACTGATGACTGACTGAAAAGCTGAGTGTCTGAAGATAGTATACAATAACTATTATTTGTTTACGATCCAACAAAATGTTATTTAAACATTCGTAGCAATATTAATTTATACTGGAAACAATATAATGAATGAATAAAGTGAAGCCTTTGCATCAACTGAAGTTGATAAAAGCCTCTCGGGCAACAAGCCGCATCAGGTGGCTGAATGGTGAATAAACCATTTCTTCTGCCAGTCTCAACACTAGGAATTGTCAGGTGATAGATGTTGGAGGGTAGGCAACACAGCATAAAATAAACACTTACACACACATAAACAACTGAATAAATAAAAGCAAAGCTACCCCACTAATCACCATGTAGGAGAGAAGGAGTGAGTGGTCAGCATCATGCCCCAGCCACACTTAACCCCTGGGAACTGACTGCTGATACCCAGATCTGTTCTGGAAGCAGAGGCTAAATGAAAATCCTCTGCCCCTTTGAGACCAAACCTTGATTATCCAGCCCATAATCAGTCACTATACTGACTGAGCTCCTTCAATCGAACAAGCATTTAAAACTAAAAGTTGAAATCATGATATAGAAGTATTTGGGCCAATACTGAAAGATTCTTTTGTCTGACTCTTACTCTATAGAAGAACTTTCTTCAATTTAGGCTTACTAAATACTGCAAATAAATTAAAATAAATTCTGATTCATACACGTAAACGATAATATAGATCGTAATTTACAAAGGCGTACGTATTACAAAATAACCAACCACCAACCACGAGTGACATTAGGAAGTAAATATCATACATGAACTAAAAAAATGGTTGACCTTGATGGAATACATGGTTTATCACAGATGTGAAAGGCTCAATCTATTCTGCAGTCGCTTTAAATTACTTACTCTTCTAAGAAATCCTGGAACAGTTTCTGACATCTCACCCCGACTTCATCTCTCACACGTTGCTGACCGACTTGTGCCTCTGGCACATCCATACCAATTTCACTTAATACAAATAAAACTGAAATGTGCACCAACAAACCAACTTCACTTCGTGAGATTTTATTTTACTTTAAACCGCGTTGAACAAAAACGTCTTTCAACACAATTGGCGGTAAATTCTATTGTCTGTGAGCAAGAAGTCGTAGTGTAGCCAATAATTTATATTTGAGATAAAAATCCCTAACTGAACTTTTGCAATAAAAGTAACATCAAACTTCATAAATTTGACGTCCATGAACAACGCAACACAATACCACACTTCACTATAATGTAAATTATGAGTCTGAAAGGGCTGAAATTTAGCGTTGTTTGGGTGAAAATGACGCATACGTTGACATACCTACAAACCTACCTCTTTGGTTTTTGCTATTTTCTGCTTATAACATTCGTTCCTTGGACAAGCGCAGGAATACCAATAGAAGAACTGCAGCACTATTTAACGTTGCAGAAAGAAAGTAAGAGAAATAGTAAATGTATCTTCCTAACATTTGGAAACAAGGTCAAGAAATCAAAATTGCATTCATTAAGAAATTGAGAACACAATAAATTCTAAGAATGCTGTATACATTACAATTCAAGAAGGAACTGACAAATATTATTCAGATGATAACATTAAGAAGTTCGAGATTGGCAGGACATTTAGCACGTTGCATTACGAATTTGGGTTGTAAAACCAAAAGGTAAGAGACCATTTGGAAGACCTAGGTTCAAATGGAAGGATATTATTAAAATAATGTTTAAAAACAGGGTGGGAGGATGTCAACATGGTTCATTTGCCTCAGAAGAGGGACCAATGGTTGGCTCGTGTGAGCATTGTAAACAACTTCGGGTTGAATAAAGGGCGGAAAATGTCTTGTCAGTCTCACAAGAATTGTAGTCTGTGGAATTAGTTACTTCGATAGTAATTATTTCCATATGTTGATTTATCGGATGAGCGTGACGAGTTACGTCCATGACGTCATCGCATGTAAGTTTGCCTGTGTTGCTTGGGTTTCCAAGATCTATTTTGGTAATTGTGTATGTTGGTTGGCATGAGCTGTTATCGTCGTTGCAACATGTGTTAAAGTTGGAAGCATTGTGACCAACATATTGAATTGATTTGGTTCATTTTCTAGTTTGGGATATTCGGATTCTTAGACTGTATTATTAAAATGGTAATTTGTGTTTTAGTCAAAAGAAGTTTTAGTTATAATTTTAATATCTATTATTTTTGAACTTGTACAGTTTTATCTGCGAACAAAGAGACATGACACTTTGTAGGTTATGTTACTATTTTAAATTCCTTTCTTCCAGTATTCGTTACTGTATAGGAAAGACAGTGCTCACGAAGATAGTATTTGGAGCTGTGCATGGGGAAAGATGAAAAAGAAGGATGATGAAAACGGCGATGGTGAAGGATCAAGGTATCTGCCGATATTCTGTATTGATTTCGCAATAGAAATTCCCAAGTTGGCAGAAGTGAGTGGATACTATAGCAAATCACTCCGTATTCAAATTTATGCTGTTTAGTTAGTATATTCCACGCGTACAGAAAGGCAAGATCAACTTTTAATTATGAACCAATTTGTTGACTTGTTGCCCTGTTAGCACACATCTGATACCCCATTTTACATATGAAAGGTTTTTTGCTGTGCAGAATCTATATTATCTTCACAGATCAGTTGCTAACCTTACAATTCAGAAAGAGGTGTCAGTGATGCTGGGATACAAATATATGAGATCCACTCCAGAATTAAATGTTTTTCCACTATAGTAAACAATTTAATGTAGCACTGATGAATTCTCTTTGACTGACATCTTCAACACTATTAAACAATTATTATTGCTAATAAATATTGGGGATCATCAGTGTGGGTTCAGACGAAACAGATCAACGATTGATCAGATCTTTTGCATTCGTCAGATACTAGAGAAAAAATGGGAGTTCGGTGGGACTGTACATCAGTTATTTATAGATTTCAAAAAAGCCTATGACTCTGTGAAGAGAGAAGTGCTATATAATATTCTTATTGAATTTGGTATACCAAAGAAGCTAGTGGGTCTAATAAAAATGTGCTTAAATGAAACCTGCAGCAAAATTCGAGTAAGTAAATATGTATCTGAGACATTCTTCATGAAGAACGGTCTAAAACAAGGAGATGCTCTGTCTCCCTTGCTCTTTAACTTTGCGCTAGAATACGCCATCAGGAAGGTCCAAGGTAGGCAGGAGGGTTTGCAATTGAACGGGACACATCAGCTATTGGCATATGCTGATGATGTTAATTTATTGGGGGACGATATAAATACAATAAAGAGGAACGCAGAAGTTTTACTAGAGGCTGGTAGACAAGTGGGGCTGGAAGTAAATTCAGAAAAAACTAAGTACATGTTAGTATCTCGTCATCAGAAGACAGGCGGGCAAAATTATCTTAGGGTAGCTAATAAATCCTTTGAAAGGGTTACAAAGTTCAAATATTTGGGAACAACAATAACAAATCAAAATGATACTTGTGAGGAAGTTAGGAGGAGACTAAATTCCGGAAATGCTTGCTACTTCTCAGTCCAAAATATTTTGTCTTCCCGTCTGATTTCTAAGAACCTGAAAATTAAAGTATACAAAACAATAATCTTGCCTGTTGTTTTGTATGGGTGCGAAACATGGTCTCTCACTCAGAGGGAGGAACACAGATTGCAGGTGTTTGAGAATCGGGTGTTGAGGAGGATATTTGGGCCTAAGAGGGAAGACGATGGGGCGTGGAGAAAACTGCACAATGACGAGCTTAAAAATCTGTACTGCTCCCCCAGTATTGTGAGGGTGATTAAGTCGAGAAGAGTGAGATGGGCGGGACATGTAGCGCGCATGGATGGGACAAGAGGTGTGCACCGGGTACTGGTTGGGAAACCTGAAGGGAAGAGACCGCTGGGGAGATCTAGACGTAGATGGGAGGATAATCTCAGGCGGGATCTATGGGAGATAGGAGTTGAAGGAAACTGGATTTTGTTGGCCCAGGACAGGGTCCGGTGGAGGGCTTTGGTTAATTCGGTGATGAACCTTCGGGTTCGGTAAGCCATCTAGTTAGTTTTTAATAAATTATTAACATATTGTAATCATGTTTCCGTAAGTTTTATACACAGTTCTGTTTTTATAAATATTCTTACAGGTATAAATGGAAAAAAAAATATTGAATATTCGTAGGGCATTTGTGTAAAAGGTAATAAATTATTTTGTGTATTAGTAATGAACATATGTTGAATGCAATGTAATTTCTAGCTATAGTTTTTATAACAATGTAATTATGTATGAGTGCTGTATTTTGCTTTTAAAATATTTTTCTGTAACTGTTGTATTTCTAGGCATTTTTAGTGTAAATTACATTTTTAGTCTTTTTATATAACAAACAGCAGATGATAATGCATACAAGATGATAATATTGAGATACATTTCATATTTGCTCAGGGAGTGTTCCTTAACCCATTGTAACTAAATACAAATGTTAGGATATTCACCTATCACTTACTTTATTCAGACAATAATAATAATAATTCAAGGGATGCCATCTCCCATTTGCTTCAGAAATATTTCAGTTAAGGAGGAAAAAAGTGAATAACTAAAAAGCATAAATGTTCCATGTATTTATAGTTTATTTAACAAGACTTTCAGTATCTCAGACTTTATAGCATCTAATGAGAGGATGATAATGAACTGGAAATGTTGTACTATCCCAGCACATGCATGGAGGGACTGAGGAAAATAATGAAAAACATTAGTCAGAGTAGCTGGTCTCAAGGCCAAGATTGCACCCATATGAAGCAAGAGTGCTTACTGCTCGGCCACAACATTTATTCATAACTGTTCAAGATTAGGTCTTGAGTTGCCTACTAACATCACATTTCGTATGTCATATACCTCATTAAGAGCAAGAGAAGGGAATAAGAAGAGTTTCTATTGAACATGGAGGTGTAATGCTTTGAATTCTGTTCATGCTTTAGAACTCTAACATCTGAATATCAGCTCAGACAGGATATTCTGACCGAAGATTTTTGTAACATTTCTGTTTATCAGGCAATTGCTAGAATAGTGTCTTAAAATGTACACAAACCATTCCTTCCTAAGTCGTCATTCAGTTTTTCTGGTACTTGTTGCTGCATATGCAGTTTACAGAAACAATGAAACTGAGTAGTTGTGGAGTGGCATTGAATAAGTTGACAAGGGCAGGCCAGTGGTCATCAGATCAACATGCTACCTATAACCTGAAAATTAGATCCTTAATATTTTAAAAACAATCATAAGAAACATTTAACAAATGTACTTCCAGAGATTCAACTGCTGCAGAAGAATCATTGGATTATATTGTGACAGGGGCTGTAGATGATTTAGTGAAAGTCTGGTCGTTCAAGAATGATGAGCTGGAGTTAAGACACAAACTTGAGGGTCATTCACTGGGAGTAGTATCTGTTGCCATTAATTCAGACAGTACAAGTGAGTAAAAGTATTATTATCTAGGTGTTAACATCTTTTCTGATCCCTGGTGTTGGAAGGCTAGATTCTTTACGAGTT